AGCCACTTCCTGCCCATTCTTCCTTTAAAACACAGAGCTGCCGGCATGCCCGAATCCCATCTCCCAGTGCCTCAGTAACATCTTGCTTTTCACTCTTTGGTTTCAGAAAACGCAGGGGAAAGGGTTCACGGTGCAGAGCTGTGGGTGTAAGAGAGGCCCTGCTTATCGAGATGTTCTCTCTGAAGGCAGAAGCAGCAGGTCAGGAGCTGGCCAAGCAAACCTTGCATGTATGAGACCTTTAATGGCATCATTTGGGGAATTAAACTCCTTCACAAGACATAACCGAGGTCAGTTATGCACAGCTGAGAGCTCAGTGAAGGCAATTCTGTTATGAATATGGATTAAGCTAAAAAAGTCATATCAAAACCCAATCGCCTCTCTCTGCATGTCCCCAGGCCGGGCTGAGCTTCCTCTGCCATTGGGTCACTTGTCCCTCACACATCACCTCATCTGCTGGAAAACAGCGAGCACACAGACAGAACAGGTATAACACAGCCCCTCGTGCCCGCAGGGGTCTCTCGAGGTCCCAGGGGCTTGTTCCTACCTCCCGGCAGCTGAAGGGGGACACAACCAGTAACCATGGCAGATAGCGCTTAGAAATGAACAATTTTTAAAAGCAAGGATTTTTAAACTCCAATCGGTTCTTGGGATCTGGAATTTCTTCTGCCACATTGCGATGAGGAACCATCAGGGGAACTCGGCCTCTCCATCAATCACCCAAAAGCCTAAACTGAGAATCCATGTTTTAAACCCCCTAAAACACACTTGGGATCAATGCCCACGGTTCGTTACCAGGTTCTGATGAAGCCAAGAGCACGTTCAAATTGAAGCAGTGTATTCCCATATTTGCCAGGCACCTTTCGGGCGAGCAGGGCTGCCCGCTGTGGGGCAGGGACCATCTGGTTATTCGGTGCCTGCGGAGCCACCGGCGCAGCGGGATCTCGGCTCTGAGCGGGCATCTCGGTGCCAACACAGCACAACCAACCTGCGCTCTCAAGGCACACACAAAAAAACCCCTTTCCAAGAGACACAGTTTAGTGGAAAATTACTCATTAAAGGGAAAAAAAAAGAAAACAAACAAGCCACACGGTATTGACTGAGGTTATCGCACTGGAGAAAATAAATCAAAGATATCTGAAGAAACAGAAGTGGAAAGGGCATTGCAGCAAGGGCACGCACCTGACGTGAAGGACTCGAGTGCAATGGGAGCTGCTGTATAATAAATACAAAGCCCCAGCGCGGAGGGACCACAGAGATAGATACGGTCTCGTATCAGGAAAGCGAAGCAGATCTGTGGCGCTGCGGGGATGGCGAACGCCGGCTCACCCACGTTTGGCTGGCGCTGGAGAGAAGCCTCGAACAGCCTCTAAACACGCCGCGCTCCAGCTTTTTAATGCTAATTCTCATATTGTAGCCAGAACAATCTCAACAAATGAAGCTGCCCACTCTTTATCTGAAGCCAGTCTAGGGAAAATGAGATGTTTGCTCTTCTTTTATTAGAATGGAAATTAAAACAACAACTAATAATTTGGCTGTAGGTAAACTCACGAGGAACACCATCAAGTACTCCACAAGCAAACCTGCTCCTGGAGCACAGGACACATCACCCCTGCTCTGGGAGAGGCGCCGGGACACCCCATGAGTGCCCACACAACCCAACAGCAGTCACTGCGGTTCCAAAAATACCAAAGACAGGCTGGTCCCCACATTAACATCTGAATCACCGCCTCGTGAGCACGCTTCTTCACTACATGGGTACGTCTGAAGGCCAAGGAAACCCGTTTTTTTCCTCCTTGCATCGTCTCCAAAGTCAGATCCAAGAGTAAGAGGCACTGAGAAGTGGTTTTGGGTCCTGGCATTCACCAGGGGCATCAGGAGTCCCAGCACACCCACTCTGGACCAGGGATTTGGACTTGAACCCACTTTGGACCAGGGATTTGGACTTGCACCCACTCTGGACCAGGGATTTGGACTTGCACCCACTTCGGACCAGGGATTTGGACTTGAACCCACTTTGGACCAGGGATTTGGGCTCGCACCCCCTTTCCCCCCCACCAGAGTCCTGATCCCAGAGGTCTCAGCCCCTCCTTTGGTTCCCCTGGGCCTGGCCACTCCATCCCAAACACCACTATTCAAATTGTGGCTGACAAACTGCTTTCCCCCCTTCTTCCAAAATAAAGGAAAGCAAACCCTTATCTACCCAACAGTCCCCAGCGAGGGATGCAGGCTCAGAGCTCTCTGCTACAAAATTCCCAAGGTCACGCTTCGCCTCCAAGCCAAATTTTCCTGTAACAGAGCTTCACAACCATACCCAGCCCCAGCTGCCATTTGCACTGGTGGAGCCAGCCAAACATTGCAGCACGACAATAACCACCGACGCACAGAGATCAGGAGCACGCCAATAACTCCGTGTCTAAGGCAAAATTGACTCACAACTCTCTTCTAACTGGATTTTTCCAGGCAAGCCACCACACAACCTGCACTCCAGATTATTCAGTGATGTGTACAGCCCCAGGTTACTGAGGCGTTTGAAGCACAGCATCTCCCATCTATTTGGCTGTGCTCAACCTCCTCCTTCCCATCTCTTTTTGACAGACTGCAGGAAGATGCTTGCTATCCCCAGCAAATAAGCAGGGAATTGGGAGCATCCCAATAAGCACCCAGCAGAACAAGCGCTGCCTTCAGGATCTACAACCACTGCTTTGTCATCCACGTCTCCTCGCTAAACCTCAGCGCGTTTCTTTTCCATTAACTTGTTTAATCTGCTGTTCTGTACATTAAAGACCCCTAAAACTAAACCAAAAAACCCTCCACATGGATCATTTAGGCTTTAAACTTGCTTTGCCTTTGCACATTTACTTTTCAAAGTCTTCTCCTCGCAGTCTTTAAGTGCTGCTTTGATTATGTATTTGGAAGTTAATTCTAGCACTTAAAAAGCCCATTTTACATGTTTGCTTCGGTGCAACAAGCCCACGTGGGCAGCCCTTGATGTAATCTGAGCGTTTCTTTAATTGCTTCTCCGAACCAAGGTCTCTTTCCAGGAACAAGCTTCCCATGCGCCGTGCAAGGCTCGTCCATGTAGCGCCATGGCATTATCACTTCTCAGGGAGTACACAGTGCTAAAGGATCTCTTAGCAAAGCAGATGCAGTCTTGTAAAAGACTTATAAAATTCACATTATCAAACTCGGTGTTGCAGGACAGTCCCTTATCTTTCCAGCACCGAACGCCCTGATAATCCCAAAAGCAGATGCCAGATTTTTCCAGCACCATCACAAGTTGCAGCCGATCTCTGCCGCTTATCTATGAGCCGACCACCAAATAATTCCAATTAATTGTGCTCCAGTCAGTTAAAATACTGCTGCCCTGGGAACCATGTGTGCTCCCAGTTGGGAACTGGGCTGAGTCTCCTTGGAGGGGAAGGGGGAAGAAGGCATTAACCCACATGAACCCTGAATATTTGGGCAGCTTGCTGGAAAAGAAATCAAAACCACATAAAATGGAAGAGTCCATGATACAGCATCGTACCCTGAGGGAAACGGGAATGATCCCAGTAATGTGTATTTGCTGACGACATTGTGCACCAGATTTTCTTCATAGGGGAGCAACTTTTGGCCAAAAAAATCCATACACGCGACACTAAATTAGGATCGTGTTCGAGCTGCTTCTATTCTCGTTGCGCTTGTCACACGCAGATCTCCGTGCCATCTGCTGGCACCGCGAGCTGTAAGATGCTCAATAAAGCAACATTTTGGGGAAAACTTTAGTCATTTCTCTGTTTCCAACGCCTGATCTCAAAGCTTTACCCTGGTTTGCTCTGCACACCACCAAGCCGCTGCTTCCCGAGGTGCGGGATGTCATGCTGACAGACGATGAGCAAACGTGGCAATGACTGACACTACTTGTGCTGAAACTGAGCTTTTCAACCCAAAACTTTTCAACCT